AGTAATTGAAATTTGTTGATATATAAAAGAATGAAACTAATTTTCGTTTTCTTCAGGACTTAGGCTTCAAAACGAATTATGAACAAGATCCAGTATTTTCTCATCATGTTAATCAAATTGCTGCTCTTGCATTTCTTCAACCGAATGATGCTAGCCAAGGTTTTGATGACCTGTACAATTCATTACCACAAATGTTACATCCATTATTAGACTATTTTGAAGATACATATGTTGGTAGAAATCGTACACAAGGAAGAGCAAAACCAATGGTTGAAATCGAATTATGGGACATGCATCAAAGGACAACTGATCGTTTAATGCAGACTAACAACTCAGCTGAGGCTTAGCATCGCCGCTTAAGTTCTATTATGCAATGTCAACATCCTACACTTTGGTCCTTCATTAATAATTTAAAAAACGAAGAACATTATATCCACTGTCAATTGATCAAGCTGAATTGTGGTGAAAAAGTCGAATCAAATAAAAAAAACATTCAAATTACAGTGCACGGCTACGCCATGTAATTATGCATCCACTACCATCTATTCTACAACAATTAGAAGGACTTACTCATAATTTATGAATTCTTTTTTTCATGTCTTACTCTTTTGTTTGTCAATTGTTCGTTTTGAGTGTGAGTAATTCTATAATTGTATCACAATAAAGGTAGAATTTATTCATAATTCTACTGAAGAGTATCAGTTTCTATTTTTGATAAAAACAAACTAATTATATTATTATACGTTTCTCCACCAATTTTCGCTCTTCCACACAGTACATATGCAGAAGGTCAGTAGCCCTATCAGCACCACCTGATCAAAGAGCATATTTCACCGAGTTTATTTGTCCTAGAGAAATACGAAATTTCAGTGACTTGCATCATGTGACACATATACTCATCGAAAACAAAAGTTACCCACTGTATTATTCATATATCGTTACTAAAACAGTATTTTTTTTTTGAAAGAATAGTATCATATTCGGAAAGCATACGAGATTTTCTATCAATCTGTACATTTGTATTTTGGTTTTCACTCTTGAATGATTAACGCAAAATCAGTATAGAAAACAACCACAAGTCAAAATTACTATAGACATGATGTTGTCATGGTAATCAAATTATTCTTTTTAGATTTTGCATCGTCATAGATTGAGGGTGTGGGTGTAAGAGTGAATCTCACCCTCACTCTCATACTCACGCCATCACACCCCACACTGTCGTTCTCACCATCATTCACACCCTTCAAGTGAATTTCTCCAATCAACCCAATCCGAAGAAGTTCATAGTAGTTATTTAGAAAACTTGTGATTTGAATTTCCTAGAAAGAGAAATTTATCATAGAGTGCCCAATCTGAAGACGAAAGATCCGAGAGCAAAAGTGATTAGAGAATAATTGTCATCGAAGCTGAGGGTGTGGGTGTGGGTACAATCCATGAAAGGCGACTGCACGCCCACCCCCCATACAACCATCGACACCGATAAGCAGCCACACCAACACCCACACCCCGGCTCTGTAGTTGTGATTAAAGTCAATCGATGATTCCTTTGAGCAAGGACGAAATCCAGATCTTGACAGCTTTATCACACCCACACCCTTAGCGACTTGCTGCTCACACAAAGTCAATTCTTATACATTAGTAAAGAGAATTTCTCTCAAAGATTCTAATGTTCCTTTTATTTTTTTCTGAAAGATTCTCCACCAGCAAAGCCACGCGCCCTATTTAGTGTTCAATACTTTTCGTCAATTCGACTTTTTCTTGTTCCGATTAATAAGTGCCGTGATCTTCTTTTGCAGCTCTTTACTCATTCCTGAATCCGAAAATTGTAACTCGACAAGTGTCTGTATAAATGAGAAAGCATTTGAATGACGATAACTTGGATTTAATTAGGCTTCGCACTGTGTTTTGTTTGAGGGCATCAACGACATGTTGTACCCCTACATCTGTGATTTCATTCCAATAGATATCTAGCGTCCTGAGTGTCTTTATAAAAAAATTAATTTCAGTCATGATATTTTCGACTTGATTGTCCTGCTAACTGTGTTTTCTTTGAGAGCATCAGCAAGATATTGCGCCCCTGCATCTTTAAGTTGATTCTTGTAGATCTGTAGTAATGTGAGTGTCTGTATCAAACATAAACGTATTTCAGTGAATATAGTCTTGATTTAATTCATCTCACTTTGTTCTGTTTGAGTCCATCAGCAATATGTTGTGCCCCACTCTCTGTGAGTTGATTGCTTCCTATATTTAGTGTTGTGAGTGCCTATATGAAACATAAACGTGTTTGAATGAGAATAGTTTGAAGTTGATCCTGCTTGTCACTTTGTTGTGTTTGAGGGCCTCACCAATATGTTGTGCTCCTATCTCTTTGATCTCATTGGCGTTTATGTGCAGTTTTGTGAGTGTCTGTGTGAAAAGTAAAAGTATTTGAATAACGATACTTTGAGTTCGATTGTCCTTGTCACTTTGTTCTGTTTGAGTCCATCAGCAATATTTTGTGCCCCTACATCTGTGATCTTATTGGAGCGGATCTCTAGCGTTGTGAGTGCCTGCGTGAAAAGTAATATTATTTCAGTGAGAGTTGATTCGATCGGATTGTGCTTCTCACTGTGTTCTGTTTGAGGGCATCACCAATATGTTGTGCTCCTTCCTCTTTTATCTCATTGTCCCTGATTTTCAGTGTTGTGAGTGTCTGTGTGAGAAGTAAGAGCATTTGAACGGGAATGATTTGGATTTAATTATGTTTGTCACTGTGTTCTGCTTGAGGGCATCGGCGATCTGTCGTGCTCCTGCATCTGCGAGTCTGCTGTCTTCGATACTTAGCGTTGTGAGTGTCTGTGTGAAAAATAAAAGTTTTTGAACGATGATTATTTAAATTTCATGGTTTATTGCAACTGTGTTCTGTCTGAGGATATCAGCGATACGTTTAGCCCCTGTATTTGTGAGATGCTGATATTCGATGTTTAGTGTTGTGAGTGTCTGTGTGAAGATTAAAATTATTCCAATGAGAAGTAGTTGTATCTGATTGTGCTGCTCACTGTGTTCTGTTTAAGACTCTCAGCGATATATAGGTCCCCTGCATATCTTCCATTATTCATTATGATGTTTAATGTTGTGAGTGTCTGTAAAAACAGTAAGACTATTTGAATGATGATAGTTTGGATCTTATTGTGCTCCTCACTATGTTCTGTTTCAGGGCATCAGCGAAACGTTGTGCGCCTGTAACTAAGAGATCATTATGTTCGATGCTTAGTGTTGTGAGTGTCTATATGAGAAGGATAAATATTTGCATGAATTTGGTTTGGGTTTGGTTGTGCTTGTTACTCTGGTGTGTTTCAGGATATATGCGATGCATTCTGCCAGCTCATATGTGAGACAATTGTGTTCGATCTGTAGTGTCGTGAGTGTCTGTGCGAAAAGGGGAAGTATTTAAGTGAGGATGGTTTGGATTTTAGTGTGATCGTTACTGTATTATGTTTGCTGGCGTTCACGATACGTTTCGCTTGTGCATCTGGGAGACGATTGCATTCGATTTTGATTGTTTCGTGTTTCTATTAGAAAATGATAGGTATTTTAATGAGGATAGCTTGGATTAGATTATTGTAGGATATTTGATAGGGGAAGCACGGTGGTCTGAAGATTGAATCTAAAACATTGTGGTGGATGTTCTTGGGAATGTTAGTACATGGGAACACCTGCATTAATTGCATGTTTTTTGGTGTTGGTATGGTGTTTTTTAAATAGGTGGTAACAAGACATAGCTTTGAGTTTTGTGGGTCTTTTAAAAGGGAGAAATTTTAATGGCGATTGTTGTTTTCAGGTATCCAGTTCCATGTGTTGATTTGTTCAGTAGCTAGTAGTGTGCTAGTAGTTCCAAAAATTTGTGAAACAGTTCATTTAACGCGATTTAATAGACTTCCTTGTGAAAGGAATGTGATACTTTAGAAGATAATGAAAGGAAAGCGGAAAATATGTCATTTATTTTTTCTTGGGAACCCACTTTTGTGGCACTAGTATTGCTGTGCATCTATTGTTAACTGAAGTGTGCCGGATGTTTGATTCAGATTTACAGACGTTTCTGCAAGAATGCCACTCATTTAGGTAAAAGTTCAAAGCAATGTCATTGTCTAGATGTGTCACAGTTCAATACTTCTTGAAGGTAGGTCTTTATCGACTTTGATCAATGTATTCTCGAGAAGCATCCGGAGAGCTCACGAAGGGAAATTTTCGAAATGTAGTAACAATGTATAAGTCGAGAATTTGATTTTGTATCGTTTATGTTTGAAAGCGATCGGTTGTAACAGACTAACCAAAGTGAAGGCTTTGAAGTGCTCGGTTAGGGATGCTGAGCACTATTACTCAGTTTGCTCTAAGCATACAGCTATGAACAATACTTGTGAAATAAAATGTTTTATGTGAACTTTCGTAGACTTAAAGTATATTGAAAGAGATGAGGAAAAATCTGAATAGGAGCTTAATTTGATGGATCTTCAGACTTTGGAAATCAGGGTATAAGATTACACTAGAAGTCCTTTCGTAAATTAGAATACCACGCAATTTTTATTTTGTAATAAAACTAACTTACATTGGCTTTTTTCTACTGATTAAAATTTCGAACGACTGCCACTCTTGTGGCTCTCAGTACCCGAAAAAGATATTTTTCTTAGAAAGATGCTTCACAAAGAATTTAGTTATAGAAAAAATTGCTTCCTTGATATAGGTTGCATTGGATTATCTGTGATGTGTTCACTTTGTAAAACTAGAAATTTGAGTGGTTCTTAACAGTTGTATGACGAAGTCTGTAATTTTAAAAAATGGCGTTTTTCATTTGCTGAATAGATTTTGAGACGGCGGAAGTTTCATTAAACTTCCATAAAGAAAACTGAGTACAAGATATTACCCCCTGTTTTCATTCTCTTTAACAAGCGTTTGTCCTAATGAATCACTTCAGTTGTTCTCATGCATATTAGACACCACAATACTCAACAAAGTTTTCTCATCAAGCTGAAGTTATTTAATACAATACTACCTGGTGCCTATGAAATTGTAGAGTGATGCCGTTGATGTTTTCGGCTGGCAACATATAGTGAACTTCTGAATTGACTTTTTTTTCAAGCGTACTGGACTTCATTTGCGATTCTTAATGGTTCACTTCACTTTAAATGAATTCACTCAGTTTAGCAATGAACTATTCTCAAGTCCAGAGGGTTATGCTACTATCAAAAATGTGTCTTTCATAGCTGATTCAGAGTCTTCGAATTCCCATCAATTAGATTGAAAGAAGTTTCGAAACGCTGAATAATGTCTGACCATGGGCAGCAGCAGAATAGGGAAAAGTACTGAATATCTTGTGTGGAATCTCTAACTTGGTAGTGAAGATACCACATAATTTATTTATAAACACTATTTGTTGTCCCACCAGTCTGCCTATTCTATCAAATCGTTGTTTTTCAAAGCTTTCAGCCCAAAGTAACAGCACTTTAGAATAAACAACATAATACAAAGAATCTCGTACGACAAATATTTATTAGTTGACTATTTCGTCCCATTATATTGAGGTCGTAATCAAACAGTTTTTCAGTAACGAATGAAGGAAACATGCCAAAGATAACTGTTAATATCTCTAGCGGCCATTGAACTAAAAAATCTTTCGGTTGATGCAACTGAACTCCATAAAAAAAGAAACTTTCTTCATTTTCACCATATTCTGAGCCTGTTTTCAAGTTAAATTATTAGCCTTTTCCGTGGGGCCTTTCTTTTGAAACTTTGATAAGCTGTGTTACAATTGCTTGTTCATACTTAATACTCCTGCCATTCCTGTATCGCACAAATTCAAAACATTCTATATTTAAACAACAACACAAAAATTTTCGCTAGCTCCGTATGCACTGATGAAAAAAGTCATCGTATGAATTTTGAGAGTGAATGAAGAAAAACCTTAAAAGCGTAAGCTTGAATTCTTGTACCGGCGCCATCAAAAGAACGTATTCTGTTGTATCTTATTTCATACTCTGTGTCATGAAAATCTTCAAATCAGCGTCTCATGCGTCGGATAAAGTGTCCGATCCACTGTTGATTTCTTGCACACAACATCGCGAGTTAGATGTGTTCTTATTTAAGAGATCCAGTGGTTGCGAGTACACAGAATTCAATTATCGCCAATAAATGGACGAGTTTCTATGGTTTTTAAGTTAACTAAGTTTATACAAATCTTACTAAAAATAGGGAGCGAGACTGCGCGTGATATAGTGCTGCTTCTTTTAGACGTGTTTGGGTGATGCGAGAGATTCACAATCTATGTTTCGCCAATCGCATTACACTGGTGCTGTCCGTACACTTGAAAATCTCTCATCATCAATGAAATCTGTCTAGAAGTGAGAGTTTATTTTCTTCTCGGAGTTTAGGTTGTATAGTACGATTAAGAAGTACTCATAAACCTCGCCTATAAGCCTAGGACAGTTTCAAAGATCCAAACCGCTGCCGAAGTGTTCTAGGGCTTGCCAACAAAATACAATGAACTGAATTCGTACGACCGAATTATTTCCCTTGATCCAAGAAACTGATTTCAGTTTCTTCTCTTTTCAGGCATTTTATCAATGACCATGATTCACACCGCTCTAATGGGTCCTGCAGGTAACATGACCCATGCATACTAATTACATACTTTAATGTTTGATACTATGGTTTAATCTAATTAAAATATTTGATAATAATCTGACAACTATCTGAAAGAATCGTCATTTTCTTAAGTAAAGGAAGTCATTACCTATTGAACGAGCTTATATGTGATGAATACGAAGGTGATATTTAGGGTCACTGATGGGATCGGCTCGGTTCAAAGTCTTTTAAACCGATTTCTTTATTTTCAATCGACAGATTTTTCTGCTTATGAGAGAAAGAAAACATAGATCCATCCACGCTAAAAAACAGATGTCACTGAAAACAGTAATATATATATGCATATATATTTTTAGTACGTTTCTGATTGTTGATCACTCGTATGAACAAATAATGAACCTCATCCACAAAGATATAGAATGTGCTTGTTTCTTTTCTTTCTCTTCAAATTATTTGTTACATTTTTCTTGAAGCATTCTTTATCAGTAAAACACTATTATAATTTTTTAGGTGTATCAGCTACAGGTGCAACGGTGGAACGCGAATTCAGTTTCGCTGGTAACATTATTACGCAAAAGCGTGCAAGATTACCATCAGATACAGTAAATGGCATTGTTTTTAATCATTCTTTCGTTTATTACAAACAGAGATTTAATAATAATAAATAAAACAAATTGTAGCATTGTTGTGACCTTTTAAAATAATTGTATTGTTTTTTACTTAATGTATATATATAAATAAATAAATATATATCTATGATGTGTACATAAGATATCATTTTACGAGAAAAAAATACTAATAATATTTTGATCTTTCTAAGATACCTAAGACATTCGAATTTCCTTCGGTTCGGTTTGAAAAAAACACGAATCGATCCCATCACTGTTTAGGATGTTGTTTTCCTAAAACCACAAGAAATTTCTCTTATTTTTGGATAGGGTTCTGAAAAACAGATCACTTCGGTGATTATAAAATTAATGACCATCAATACTATTCAACCTATCGGCAGCGTAGAAAAAAATGCTTTTTTTACAGTTCCAGAACTAAATAGAAATAATTAACCACTGTGTTCTATGCCCTTCCCAAGATACTTTAGTTTATGGCATTCCTTTAAAAATACTTGATGTCACTGAGAACCTTTAAGAGCATCAAAAACAGCAGGATCATCCATGACGCCAGCCAAACTTAAGCCAAAATTTATTTACTTGGTATTTATCGGAAAAGGATGAATATGTCAGAACAGAATGAATGGGTTACCATAGTTCTTTGGAAGCACTGATACAATGGGACGATTCGAACATAACCGTTCCTTTGTCAGTTCTTAAAAACGAACTGGCCACTAGACACAGTTCCAACAAAAGAACTGTGCGAAGCCACAGTTCTCAACGAAGAACTGAGAACTGTTCTAGGTCTACTCACCTAATATAAGTACCACTTGATCATACCCCTGAAACTGAGGCTGCTTACAAGAGTGTTTCAAAACCTGTATGAAAAAGTGTTGAAGAAAATCCTTGAACATGAAGAAGGCTGTGTGAAAGTACATATAGTAGCAGCGATAGATTCAGTGTATTTATTCTATCGGTCTTCTCTGTAGATTTGAAAACAGCAGTAATTTCTAAATGTTATCCAAAAGATTCTCTAGGAAGGCTCAATTTTGATTTTCACTTTGAAATTGTAATTTGATGCAAACTTTACCATTTATTTTCTTTCCTTTTACCATTACAGCGTTTATAGAAAGATTCTAAATGAGAGAGATAACTTATCTTGAATACCCGAATTCGTCAAAGATGGAAAACAGCTACAAAGAGATGTTTCGATGAGCAAACAAACCTGTAGATCGAAGTTGAGCCTATTTCACTGATAATTCCATCTTATATTATTAATTCTCTCAGATAAAAACTAAACCACATATTCTTTAAGATTTTCCTTTATGAAGCAATAGGTATTCATCACTTATGGATGATGGTAACACAAATCAGGGTATACAAATGTGAAAGCAAGTCAATTGCCAGACTTGCAATAATGTTTCCCTCTGGTTATTGAGGAAAATTCGCATCAAAATGTTACCTGATTGTTCTGGATAATCTCTTCTATATTCAATCCACCTTCATGGGTAATTTCGTCATCAGATAGATCGAGTTCGGTACACTGTTCTTCTATTAGTGCTTCATTCCTAATGAGCTGCATCTTGGCATCAGTAAGTTCCTTCTGTTGATACGATAACTTCACAGTCGATTGAGTTTCAGTCACTTCTTTCTCTGGCTCATCTTGGAAATGTGAAGGACTTGTTCTTAGCTCTTCGGCTATATCCGAATAACGTTGTGAGTCATTTTCTCCACTAGGAAAATTTGATGCCATTTTCAGCAAAATCTATGCGACAATGAATATCAAAAGGCTTTTCTACTAAGGGATACCTTTTCGATCGTTTTAAAAAGGTCCCAATCAATTTAGGAGGCTGCAAACTGGTCCCGGTTCCGGTCCCGGTCCCAATGGTATCAAAACCGGGACCGGGCCCATCACTAACATGTTTCTAAGTTAGTCCCGATACATTGGTTTTTCGAGAAGTTTATCCATACTTTTTCGAATTCATAACATTTTTGTACCTTCGAGCCAACAGTTTCGTTTTTAATCTGCATTTCTAACAAAGGTACAGATGTAAAGATCAGTTTTTCCAACCTCATGACTACCTTCAAAATTAGTTCAATGACTAATCATTCTTCGATAAATTCAAAATGATCATATTACTAAACTTGATGTTCAAGAGACCTTGATTCATAACTACTCATTTCCATCTAGCATTTATGTAAGAATGATAAGCGTGATGGATTCTGAGAAAGTTTTTCGAGTAAAAGACGTAATGCAAAACATTTTAAGTAAGAAATAAAATTATTTCTCATTTTCTCAGACCCATGATTTAATTAAGGGTGTGGTTGTGGGTGTGGCTGTTGGTCTCTTGTTCTCTGACTCCTATATCCACACCCACTCACATCAAATAAAATGAACGACAGAGCGAGAAAAAATACAAAGGTAGCAGGACATGATGCGACTAGAACGCCAAGATACGACAGAATGAGTGAAATTTTATCAGGCACACAATCTACACCGAGAGCGGAATGATAACAAATACGACAAGAGGCACGTGTAAGAGAATGATTATGAGGAGATACTTAACAACTCTTATTTGTCAGTGATGTAAATCTGAAGTAGCCCTATATAGGTAGAATTATATACGACGTACAAATGGTAAAAAATCAAGTTTTTTCTTAGGGCTATATAAGTAAGTCTATCTTCGGCTATCAAGCCAGCTGGTAACGCTCATACAATTTTTCGAACTATAACGTATATTATTCCAAGAAATCTTGTTTTCCAGAGACAAAATCGAAACAAAAATAAATTTTTTTAATGAGGACAAACGAACCGGGACCGGGACCAAAAAAAGATTGATTTTACATATGTCTAAATCAATTACGAATATTAAATCTCTAAATCATATCTAGATTGAAACAATGCTTCATTCATCAATGAGCAACCAATTGATTAAGAATGTAACTACAGACTTTAGGGCGAAAAGCGAGGAAAAATAGCTGCTTGTTTGTATCTCATACTGCAGAATTATTTGACATTTTACAACTCTACTATCAATCTGAAAGATCTTCTATTAACATTGCAGTCCTATCCTGTAAATTATACAGTAGTGATCAAAATTATAGAATCAGTCAGTTCGTGGATTTGGTTTATACTTTTCTACCAATATGGCAGAGATGCAGTTCTCAAATCTACATGAGAATATTGCGCTCTGGTTCCTCTTTCAGAAGATATCGAGATATCTTCTGAAAGAGAAACCAGAGCGAAATATTCTCATGTAGATTTGAGAACTGCATCTCTGCCATATTGGTAGAATAATATAAACCAAATCCACGAACTAGCTGGTTCTATAATTTTAATCGCTACTGTATTAATGTAGAATAATCTTATCGTATCATCTACTACTTTTGTCTCTGTGGGCAGCGTAATCATTGTTCTGCACGCAATATAACAGAATTCTATCTAGCTTAAATGTGCATATGTTGATATACATATCTGCCTGCTCGCACACAGAAATTAAAAAAGCAATAAAAGTCAGATATCACTGTTATACATTGGACTTTAGAAATCTGGAGAATGTTCTATTTGCACGAGTTGTTAACATGATTATGATACTGAGAAG